ATGTGTTGTTATGGGACTATAAATGACTTGGCATGTTTAATTACTAACCTGCTTAAAATCTACCAACCCATTCCCATTGTCAAGATGAACTTCTTATTAATAGGTGTAGCAAATGTGCCCTACTTCTCTAACCTTACCACCTGTGGCTGCCCCATCCACACCCTCTCTTTAGTGGTACAAAACATAATTAACGTGTTTATTGCTTTGTGATTTTGCACGTGTTTTTCTCTGTCTGTAATGCCCTGTGGTTTTTACATGTGAATACATCTTGCATCTTAAAACCCTGCCCCTGTAGATTCCCCTGAGAAGTTTTCTCTGACCTCTTACATAGGTTATAAATCTGAAGTTTTTGCTGATATAGATTGCTGCATGTACTTTCAAAATAGTAGAATAGAATTTGTGGTCATTAAACTGTGAATATTACTTTTCTAGCACAATAGTGGTGGAAGATAAAGAAAAAAATACAATTTTGTCTGTCTTAAGTCTACTAGGAAAAGCAATATAAACACCTGCAACCTTTATCTTAGAAACAAAATAGAAATGCAGAATTATAGACAGCTTGTAGCACATATAGACATATTTAATAAAAAATTGCAATACAGATTGTACAATCTTTTAAATACCAGCACCATTATCGTCGTATCAGAAAAAAAACATATTTTTATCCTTTTTAATTATACCGTTTCCAAAGTTAAAGCATCTTTAATCTACCTTACCAGACTCCTCTTAATTCATGTTTTATTTTGTTCTGATAGTAAGTGCTAGAGATGAAGTTTCATTCATGGTATAAATAATTAAAAATTGAAATAACATTGTCGAGCCCAGGAGTTGAAATCATTTATGGTTTCCTGTAAGATAACATCCTTGTTATAAACCAAGGATGTTTTATATTTACACACATCAGATAAAAAAAAATCCTATTTATTTTCCATATTTGTTCTTGTGAGATGTGGGGAGAAAGGGCAGGCAGATTTTGAATTCAGAAGCCTTGTCTTTTGGAGTTCATCTGCTGCTGCTAATTGACTTAGTAACCTTGATTCAGTCACTTAATCTTTCTGAGTTTTATACCCTCTTTTGTAAAAAAAAGAGAATTAATTTAGATGGTTTCAAGGGTCTTTTAAAATCAAAAGATTATTTAAGAAATAAATTACCTTTTTTGTTCTATTCTGACCATCATTACCAAATGAGAAAGAACAAAGCTTTATGAATTTCAGTTTTAGAAATGGAGGTTTATCTGCATTATATCGGTTATATTACAAAAATAAAATCTGGGTTATGTAGATGCTTAGTTTTATGCATTTAAAACTAACTATAAAATGTAAATACAAAATGCTTGTATAAAATGTTATTTCTCTAGTGACTGCCTGCTTTATTATGTGCTTAAATGATGCTGTTAAATTACTACTATTTATTACAGCATTAACATTATAATTTTACTGTTAATACTATTGGTATTCAATTTCAGGAAAGCTAGCCCTGACAGTATGCTGATGTTAGGGATAAAAAAGAGATAGCATTTTAAAGGCAATAACCCTAAAAAAGACTGGTGCTTATTTAAACACATTGTAGGAAAGTGCCAGAAAGTTGAGGATTAAAAAATGCAAGACCTTGAAATGTAATCTTCCCCAAATAACTCTAAGATCCAAGTTCAAAAGGGGTAAAGAAACGAGCAATTCTAGCAGTTGAATTACTGTGGCAGGGAGCAGAGGAAGCATAGGTGTATCGGCAGATGAGGAAGATCACATTGCTCTCAGTCTTCCGCCTTGGTGTCTAGTACACTTTTCTTCTGAGCACTTTAAAGTTTTCTTCCCCATGGCAAATGCAAAGAGCCTCATATAAGTTACAGGTTCTTATTGTAGTATTTTTACCCTTTTCTTCTGAGCATTTTAAAGTTTTCTTCCCCATGGCAAATACAAAGAGCCTCATATGAGTTAAAGGTTCTTATTGTAGTATTTTTACCCTTTTCTTCTGAGCACTTTAAAGTTTTCTTCTCCATGGCAAATACAAAGAGCCTCATATGAGTTAAAGGTTCTTATTGTAGTATTTTGGGTGTAAACAGTTTAGCCCTCTAATTCTGGAAAATAGAGAAATTGAAAAAGAACTAGGAATATATGAACTTTAATAAGTTTAGAGTAAACTGTACTTTGACAAGCCTCAAAAGACTAATATTCTTGTAAAGTCTTTACTTTATTCTTGTATTCCAGACCAGTAAGCTGAAGCTCTAAAGAATATCAAAAGCAGGAAATGCCTAGCTCTTTTAAGGGAAGCTTTGAATTTGGAGTACAGGTTGTTCCAGGTCAAAAAATGTTAATCGATGAGGAAATCTCTTGAATCTATTGAGGACAACTTTAGGTCAGTGTGTGGAGGATCAGGTTATACTCTCCACTAGCTTCTGAGGCAGTGGTCATCAAAATCTAGCATATGTAAGTAAAACCTTGGAAATCTGTGGAAAATGTATATTCTTGTATCTCACCCCAAAGATACTGACCCAATGTGTTCAAACCCCAACACACTCCATGATGTAAAGGGGAGAGGGGTTACCTTCTCTGTAGGTATTTAGCCTAGAAAAGTGAAATAATGCAATTAAAATATCTAAAATATTGCAAAGATATAAATAAGTTTGCCATATCCATAGAATAGAATAAGAAGCCTTAATCTGAGTAATTTATCAGTGATAAATGATAAATGTGTTTTACATATATGTACATATAAATATGCACATATATTTGCATGCACACACATATATATGCAATCTTATTCAATTTTCATGCTAACCTTAGATGTTGTTATTATTCTTATTTATCAGATGAAAATAATGAAGCTGAAATAATTAATTTTCCCAAGATCACAAAATGGCAACATCAAAATTCTAACCCAGGAATGTCTGGTTACAAATCCTGGGCTCGACATTACTCACCAACAGTTATTATCAATAATGTTATAGGACTTATTATGCATAGATAATGTGCTGTCATAAAAAAAAAGAAACAGATTTATGAAATGTTTGAATGAGTTGATGAATAACAGACCCTAAAATTAGCCAGCATCTTTGAAGGTAATATAAGGGAGAATGTACATCCCAGCACTGCTGTTGAGGCCAGATCACCACCTGCGAGGATAGTAGGTCTACCTCGAAATAACAATTTCTGTGTGTTCACAGCATAGGAAGTGGGCTCTTTGCAATGTACATTAAATTTTGTAACTTCCTTTTTGTAAAAACTAACTGGTTATTTTGATTTCAGATTGATACCTGTATACTTATAAATTTATAAGCAAAACCTTATTATTCATTTTAACCTATTGTAAACACTCTACCCTTAAAGGATCAGTTTTTTATATATATATTTAAAAGAGAAGATAAATAATTATAATTTGATTCATTTTACTGGCAAAATTTAATAATAAAATGATAAAATCAGAAGAAAGAATGAATACAGATATTTTAATTGATTTTAAAATTCTAAAATATTTCAATTTAAAATGAGATGACCTTGGAACAATAATGAAATAAATATAAATATGAAATTCTTTAAAGTCACTGCAGCTATTAAGAGATGCTTAATATTCTATAGGTATATAACTGTCTTCTGAGGACATGCTCAGAAACAACTTGGATTCAGGCATTTTGTAATGTGATAAGCTGTACAAACAAATTTCAGTGCCCATGATCTGAATTTCTCTTAAAATAAGCTTTTCAAAAATTTGATTGGTTTAGTTAATAATCTCCAAAGAATGTGTTTGTTGACCACATCTTTTAATTGAAGCACTTATTAAAAAGAGTTTTGGGCTAATTTAAGAAAATTCTAGCCCACAAATAGAAATTATAACAAACGTGTTAGTGTGTTTAGAATAAAAATAGCATGATTAAAAAAAGTTTAAAGCATACATATCAGGCAGTGGTGGTATGTTTGTATAAAATTATATATGCATGTATACATATATACATATATATTATATATATATTATTATATATATATTATATATTTTATATATTATATATATTATTTTATTATTTATTTTATTTTTTATTATTTACATATAAATAATATTTTTGTATTTTTTATTTTTTTATTTATATTATTTTATTATATCTATTATATATATTATACATATATATTATACATATATATATATATTTATATATATATATATATTTCAAGACAGTGAACTAATTTTGTAAATTCCCAGGTCTCATTAATATATTTTAGCCAATGTTTCTTCTTTACAAACCTTGAGCATCTTGCTTCTTCAGCTTTAGTTTTGTAAAGAAATTTCAAAGTTCAGAGGTATCAAAGGAGCTGATTATGCCAGTGCTATTCTTTTCCTTATGATAATAAAGTATCTTCTTATTCTTCAAGAAAATTCCCTGTCAATGTAAGGCTTTAATTAAATCTAATTTTTCATTGTTCATATTATATTTTTTAAAGATGATTTTAAAATGTATTTAATTTTGTTTGCAACTATTTTCCACAAAGATTACTTTATGATCCTGACTCTTGACATACACTTACATTAGCTATTGATGTCAGCTACAGAACTAATAAAATTCAATTCATAATTTGTTTGTTGTGTTATTTTAATCAATACTCCCTCTGCTGGTTTAATAGGAAGAAAGCCCCAAGGACAGCTCCTATTACCAGATTTTTATAGAATGCTTTTTGCTGTTAGAGGAGCATTAAAAAATATATTCAGAAGTCAAGGCAAGTTAATTAATTAGCTTTATTTGTACAGCTACTCCTTTTTAATTTCCACTGTTAATCTAAGCAGGAAAAATAGATACTGAAAGCAATGTCCTTTCTTTTAATAAGATAATTTCATAAGAGAATTGTATTTTGGTGGTAGCTTTTATTTTTTCCATCCTTTCATTCTGATTTTATTATTTTCTATAAAATTTGGAAATTTTCTCTCCTGTAAACCCAACAACTGAATCAAGACTGTAGCCTATCAATAAATGTGATGTAGATTGTTTAAGCATCTTGTTCACTTCTCTTTCTCTGCAGGCACTCCATCTGCACTGTGTACATTGAAGTGCTTCCTCCAAATAATCAAAGCCCTCCCCGCTTCCCACAGCTGATGTATAGCCTTGAAATCAGTGAAGCCATGAGGATTGGTGCTGTTTTATTAAATCTACAGGTATGCTCTTGCTATATACATAAAGTTCTAAAGCGACAAGCTTAAAGACCAATGAGTCTATATTTGTGTATGAGGGAAAAAAATCCTCACATTCCTGCTTACACTCTAGTGAATGAAAATTCCGTCTGGAAAGGAAAACAAGGGTAATATGAATGGAGGGTTTCTGCAGCTATTCTATTCTATTGATTGCCATGATTGAAGAACTAACGTTTGGCTGGCAGGGATTAGCTGCAATCATTACAGGAGAAAATGAAGGGATTGAAAATATTCACTCTTTGCATCCAAAGAGTCTGCAGCTGACTACTATTTTCTGTCTTGGCTCCCTTTGCCCCAGCTGCATGTATTTTTTGTCACAGTGTTGTATAGAGGAAATAGCCTTAGACTCAAAGGCTCATGGTAGGCATTCTGATTCGGAGGCAGAACTGACTTCATTCTGTTGCCATAGGGAAAATCTTGTAATTTCTGTGCCTTGTTTTATTCATTTAAATAAAGTGTGTAGGTTTAGCTGATATTTCCATTTGCAGTTCAAGATTCATGGGCATATGAGTTACTTGCAGGAGGACAGCTTGATTCTCATTATTTATATATTCCTGACGAGAGCACATTTGGCCAGAGAAGGCTATATCTTTGGCTGAATATGCAGCTTCCAGTTGTGCTAAATATGGTGCTGATAACTGTCACTTGCTGTAACAATCATAAGAACCATAACATGACATATTATTTTACCTGTGAATGTTCAGAGAAGAGAGTTTATCTTCTCCTGATGTTACATGAGAATGACAGGAGTTGCTGATATAAGAATTCAGAAAGCCGGCCTTGAAAGTTAGGAGAGATTTCAATGTGATGACCCAGGAAAATCCCAGTATCAATGTTTACCATCTAATGAGATGACAAAATTCACAGCTACATCTTGCTCAAATCCTGTTTGAATACTGACACCCTCACTCAAATCCTGATAATGTAAAAGTGAAGATTCTATAGAATATTTGTATTGAAAATGGTGTAAAAATAATGAAACATATTAACCTTATTTTGCAAATGTGGAAAGTGAAACTCATAGAAACGAACTGATGCTTAAGTTCAGTTGATTGAATTTTCTTCCAAAGTGAGGCTATCTCTATTAGCTCTTTCTGATTATTTGTGGATGCCAAAATTTGGTTGGCATGACTGAGTACTTCTTTGGGCCTAGGCTCTGATACTTGTTTTTTTTTTTTTTTCCTTTTGTCCAGGTAACTAGAAAAAGTTTGCTTTTATTGTTCATTTAGTATTAAAATGTGTAGAAAACAAATTTACATAAAGGGAGGCATATTAGTAATAAGGAAATTTGGAGGATTTTTGTGGACGATTAAAAGGGAAAAATACTAAAGTTTCTTCAGGAAGAAGAAAAGAGCTAGTCAAATTATTATGATGATAAATAATGGAAAAACCAAACATTAAAACACATGCATTTAATGAAATAATGGAATTTTTTTTCTTTACATTTATGGGAAGTCACTTATTAGAGGAAAAGGAACTAAAATATTAAAACACATGCATTTAATAAAATAATGGAAATTCTTTTCCTTACATTTATGGGAATTCAATTATTAGAAGAAACAGAAAAAAAATAAATCTTAGATTTGTAAGATTCAGGTTAAGAAATTATATATATTCTACACTTACATATTTTTAAAGAATGTGCCTTTATATAATTTAACTTTCTATGTACAAGTACATGATACTTGTAAGGTGGCTCCATTTTCATTTCAATAAATCCCTAAGAGATGTAGGAACCATATTATAGCTGAATCATTTTACCTGTGAGTTAAGGATGAAAGGAGTTGGTCTTTTTCATATCTCAAGTTTCTCTGGTACAAAGGCCAAAAAAAAAATATGTGAAATAATGACATTTCTATCACCCTTTGTGCTTCTGGTTGAGGCAAAAGCAAGAATGGCATTTGCAGTGGCATCTCTGTAAGAAAGAACTAGGGTCAAACCATCAAGGTATTTTTCCTATTTTTTCTATGCTACCAACCACCCACTTTTATTCATGATCAACGGAGGCAGAATTTAAACTAGCGACCTAAAAGTTGAAAAACTTTCATCAAATTACTCTTGCAAAGACTTCTAACACAAGGAAGTATTGGAGGTGCCCTGGCTGCCTGCATCTCCTCCGTCCTCATCCTTTTTTGCCCACACAGCACTACCTACAGCTGACTCATAGCTCAATTTAAAAAGACAGAAGATTTGTGGGGAAATGTATGTTCGGAGATAGCAGCAGACTGGTATCAGAATAATCTGTTTTGACTGAGATCAAAGTGGTTTGTTTTAGACAACAATCATTGTTTCTCTCCCTTCCCTTTCCCCTTTTAAGTATGTTCCTTTCATTCTATCTAAAAGTTGTTTGGGGAATTGTGATTTTCTGTTGGCCTGGCTGCTCTATCAATGGCGTTCAGTGCAGGAAAATGTCACCCAGAGTTCTGCTTTCTCAAACCTGGTGTGCTCATCAGGATTAGTTGTTTTTGTTTTGTTTTGTTTTGTTTAATTTTTCTAATTATTAGGAATATTTTTTGTTGAAATGTAATAGATTATACATAATTGTGGGATACAGAATTGACTATTAATATCTATATATAATACACAATGATGAAATAAGGATAATTAGTATATTCTTCATTACAAAATGTGATCACTGTTTGTGATCCTTTACCAATTTCTCACTAACTCTCCGCATTCCCCTTTCCCGCCTCTAGTAACCACCGTTCTGTTCTTTCCTTTTGAAAGTTCAATGTAGTATTACAACTGGTATATCCTTCTTTCTTTTTGATGCATTTATTTATTTTTTTTTTTATTTTTTAGCTCCCATTTATGAGTGAGAACATGCAGTATTTCTTTTTCTATGAGAACTTTATTTCACTTAATGTAATTTTCTTCAGGCTCATTCATGTTGCTGCAAATGACAGAATTTCATTCTTTTTTATGGCTGACCAGTATGCCATTGTCTATGTATACTACACTGTTCTTATCCAGTCATCTGTCAAATGGACATTTACGTTGGTCCAACTGTTGGCTATTGTTTTTTTAAAAAAAAAAAATCCAGGGTAGCTTTAGGTTGGATATTTTCCTTCGGAGTCCATCAGATCTTGCTCAAAAGCATGCTTATATATAATTCTGACCTATCAATGAAAACTGTTACAGTGGTGTACGGAGCCAGGTCATGACAGCTGGTTGTGTCCACCTCCTCCCAACTCTGTGTTCAGTCAAGTCATGTCACGTTATTAGCTTGACATTGGACATTGGCCCTGGTGGGCATATTTATGTCATGGAAATTGGCAAATGCAACAAATCAGTGCCCTCTACTCCGTAGGTGCGTGTAAGACATTTAACAGCACACCACTAGATATGGAGCTAATTTCCTCAAGCATTTAAATCAATAAAATCTGTTGACTCCAACAGCTTTCTCCTTTTTTTTTCTCTCTGATTTTTTAAATTTATTTTTGTCACACTAATGATGAGGCAACACTACCAAATAGTATGAAGTATTATACTCAAATACGCAAGTCTTTTTATTTTCCTCACAGGAACATTATTTCCTTCCAAATTACACTTACATATAGCTCACATTCCCTTCAACTTACCCACCGCCAGTAGCAAAATCCTCCTTTCTTTGACTTGGAATTCCCATATCACCATTGTCATATGAACATGTGTTGGATCAAACAATTCATTCACCTATTATTGGTGAGGTCATCTAAAGGAAAGTTCAAATACAATTTCCAAAATGCAAAACAAATGCACATAAATAGGGAATTGAGTAAAAGTATGACCCTCTTTTCACATAATATGTTCCTTTAGGGGTAAAAGGTAGACTTGGGGGGAAATAAGTGCTTAGCAATTGTTCACTGATTTAAGACATCTTTTTCATTGCTCTCTTTTTGCTAACACTCTTCTATGTTGACATATGGACTTATTTCTGAAAATAAGTAGTAGTGGAAACAATAATTTACTTGAAATAGGTCAACACTGATTTTTTTGTTTTTTAAGTACAGAGTAATACAGGTGAACAAACTGTATTCCATGATCAAAGTGGCCTATTTTTGTGTGTCTGGTAAGCAAAGAATTTTTTTTACAGCTTTGAAGGTTTGTTGAAAACATATAAACAACAAAAACAAAGAATAATATGCAGAGTCCATACAAAGCCCGCAGAGCATAAAATTTTGACACATGCCCCTTTGCAAAGTTGGCTGACCACTTCAGTATAACATTAAGTAACATTCCAAACCAAACAAGAAGTGTCCATTATGTTGGCATAAAGTACAAAGCCACCTCTAAGAGAAAGAATATAAAAAATAGTGTTGCAACTCTAAAACTTAGCATTGGTTTATTATATTAAATTGAATTAGGGGATCATTCATTTAACTGTGTCAAAGATGGATCTCACATTAGCTAGCCAAAAACAGAAGCAGCATTAGTAATCAAGGTTATATATTCAATTAATATTTATTAAGATAAAATAATGGTGCATAACTACTCCTTTGGTATGAAGAGAAGGCAGAATTTTAAGAACTTGGGAAATAGGAGGGAGGGAAGAGGAGACTAAATGAGATAGCATGTATATTGCATAGTGCTTGAAATGAAAAAGAAAGTGATTAATTAACGTTCGTTATTTTTGTTCTTATTCTCATTCAAGAAAGTTAGTCTTGTTTCTCAACAAGAAAATTATCATTCTTGTTTTTCTCTTATCTCATATAAAATTTGGGATTTTAAAAGTAAGAAGATACTGGGCACCTTGAATAATGAATAGGAAAGTGAAATGTGAAAGAATATGGAGGACTGAATATGTTACAAAGAATATCTTCACTCAGTTTATTTTTTTATTAGCTCTTTCATTAGGAAAGAATGATCATTTGCAATTTAGAGAACAAAGTTCTCTAAATTTAGGAAGCCCAAGACACAGATGGCTGAGAGATCAATATTTATAATTACAGCATCAACATTTAATTTTAATTGACTGCTACTCC